TATGCAACTTGACTCACAGCAACTAATTACTAATTTCACAAAAGGAATAACCATTTACATAGAAGGAAACCAATTCAGTGGTACCCAAGCATGTACCACTGGGTAACTATCCTAGTTTCCTGTACCTGCATCTCTTGAAATCCTGAAGCCAACATCAGAAGTTCTGTTCCAAGTATGTTTGCATGATGTTCAAAAGAAGGCTTTTCCAAATGAGGAATACCTTATAGTTATTTTATTTTTTGTCTTACAGTATCTTTTAATTTGAGCATTTAAATTCAGTTTATCATTTTACCAGCAACTTCTTCGTAGTAGTAGTAGTAGTAGTATCTCTCCCTAAATCTTTTTTTAAAATGGCAGATGAAATAAACTTAAAAGATACATGGAGAGAAAGAAATTCTAAAACTAAACAATACACCTTCTACTCAAATGGACACTTATCATGGTCCAGAATAGATATGATATGGATGTCAACAGAATTAATAACTAATATTCAAGAAATAAATATTGAAACAAGTACTTGGGCAGATCACAATCCAATGACAATTAAATGGAAAGGACAAAGAAGAAGATCTAGATGGACGTTAAATAATACAGTGGATGGAGAAAGAATTGGCCTTTTTCTTTGGAGAAAACAAAAAAGAAGACATATCAATCCAGAATGTATGGGATACAATGAAGGCATATGCCAGAGGCTTGATAATAGACTATACAAGGAAAAGAAATACCATGAAAAGATCAGCCTCTAAGGCTTTAGAAGATGAGTATAAAGGACTTGAAAAAGAGCTACAGAAAATGCCACAGAAAAAGGACATTAAAAATGGATATAACCAAATATAAAATGGGCCTAATAGAAAAAGAAGAATTAGCACAAAAAATTAGAGGTGCCAAACAGAACTATTATGAAGATGCAAATAAACCAGGTAGATGGTTAGCATATAAATTGAGAAAGGAGAAAGAATCAAGGAAAATATTGCAATTAATAGATGACCAAGGCCAAGTTTGCTATGGTAGTAAAGAGAAGAAGGAAATTATTTGAGATTTTTATGGGAAACTATACACACAAGAGAATATTGATGAGGAAAGAGTTAAACAGTATTTATGGAATGCTAAATTACTCCAGATACCTAAAGAGATTGAAACAATGTTAGAAAGCAATATAACAATGATGGAGTTAACTGAAGCACTTAAGAAACAAAATAATGGAAAGGCACCAGGCCCAGATGGACTTCCAGCAGAATTTTACAAAACATTACAAGAATCATTGAATTTTCCATTGCTAGAAGTTATGAATGAAGTTATGTTAAAGAAGAGGATGCCTAAATCATGGTCAGAAGCCTATATTACACTTATTCCTAAAGAGGAGACCGATCCATTACAAATCAAGAACTATAGGCCTATCTCCCTATTAAACACAGATTATAAAATCTTTTCTTCAATATTGGCAGAAAGACTTAAAAAAAATATTTAAATAATTTTATCCATCCTGACCAAAATGGATTTCTGCCAAAGAGACAAATCAAAGACAATATGAGAGTAATCTTGGACACTTTGGAATACTACGAGGCACATCCCGAAAAACAAATGGCTTTGATATTTCTAGATGCACAGAAGGCATTCGATAATGTGAATTGGCGATTCATGTTATTACTGCTGGAACAGATGGGCTTTGCTAGAAAATTTATTCAATAGAAGCTATCATAAGCAGACGGCAAAGGTAATGATAGAGGGAGAACTGACAGAATCTATCAATATAAGAAAAGGAACAAGACAAGGGTGCCCACTATCACCTTTGTTGTTTGTGTTAACCTTGGAAGTGTTAAACAGAAATATTAGAGATGAAAAGAATATAAAAGGGATGAAAATTTAAAAGGAAGAATTTAAGTTGCAAGCATTTGCAGATGTTCTGGTTTTTATTTTAGAAGACCCACTAGAAACAGCACCAAAATTGATAGAAAAGATAGAGATATATGGAAAGGTGGCTGGTTTGAAAATAAATAAAGATAAGACAAAGATCTTGACAAAGAATATGCTATCAGGGCAAAAGGAAGAATTGGCAGACCTATTGAAAATTCAGGTCACGAATAAGATCAAGTACTTGGGGATATACTTGACAGCAAGATGTAGTACATTAAAAGAGAATAATTATATTAAACTTAAACAGCAGATAGCGCTAGATTTGGCGAAATGGGAAAATTTACAACTGTCATTAATAGGGAGAATATCAACAATCAAGATGAATATATTACCCAGAATTTTATATTTGTTTCAGACAATTCCAATTAGGCTTGGAAAAGACTACTTTGAAGATTTAAATAAAATTGTGTTGAAATATATATGGCAAGGTAAGAAAGCGAGAATAAAGTTAAAACTTTTGCAAGATGCTAGAATAAGAGGAGGATTTGGTTGCCTAATTGGGAGTTGTATTACGAAGCTACAAATTTGATGTGGGTTAAGGAATGGATAACATTAAGAAATACTAGATTGTTGACATTAGAAGGACATGACCTGTTGTTGGGGTGGCATGCTTTTTTATGGTATAAAGGAACTAAAACACAGGGGTACTTTAAAAGACATTATATACGGGAGTCTCTGTGGTTAAATTGGGAGAAGATTAAAAGACGATGTTATTTGAAAATTCCAGTCTGGTTATCGACTATTGAAGCATTTTCTTATCCTATAATATACAAAAAGGAACAAACAGTTAGATATAGCGAAATATTGAATGAAAAGGGTGAACTTAAATCTATACAAAAACTAGAGGAACAAGGTATAAAGATGAATTGGTTTTCATATGCGCAAATACATTCAAGGTATGATAAAGATTCTAAAACAGAAGGTTTCTATGATAAACTGACTTAGATAAGATTTTGACAGGTACTGATGAAAAGGTGATTAAAAAATTGTATGGATATTTATTAGAAATTAAACTAAAAGAAGAACAAGTTAAAGAAACTATGATTGCTTGGCGGAATAATTTTGGATATGGGATTGATCTAGAGAAATGGCAAAAATTGTGGTCTCAAAATTATAAAATGACAACGTCAACAGCATATAAAGAAAATTTGTATAAGATGTTTTACAGGTGGCACTTTCCCCCGACAAGAATAGCAAGAATGTTCAAGAGTAAATCCGAAAAATGTTGGAAATATCATCAGATACCTGGCTCATATTACCATATGTGGTGGACTTGTGTGAATTGTCATAAAACAAATTAAGTAAAATATCATTTTGGAAAACATGAATAAATAAAAGTATAGTCAAATGATTGATTAATAATGATATTAATGTATTTAATATATTGATTGAAAATACAAGATCATATGCAATGTAATTATAATTGAAGACTATGAAATGGAAGCACAAAACAATTTGTAAACCAACCGGTACACTGTATGTACATATATGGAAGATGACTTGATGTTTTTATGTTTTGTTTGTTTATGTTTATTTTAGAAACCAATAAAAAAAATTATTTAAAAAAGGATAAAATAAAAAAAGAAGTATTCTACTCTTAATAAGGAATGTATGATAAGGACATCTGATTTCTAGAAAAATGTCTGAAAAAATATAGGGATATTTGTTCATCAATATGATTTTAGTTACTAATTTAAAGAAATAGGGAACAGCTTTTACCACACAGCGGTTTCCTTCCTCAGTTTGTTTGTCCCCACACATATGCTGATGCTTCCCTTGATAATATATGATGTATTTTGTATAATTCTCTGTGCACTTGTACTTATATTCAGTGTGTCCATAAACATTTTGTGCAGTTGTATATGTTCATATATGTGCAGTCACACTTATCCTTGTGTGCTCGTGTACATACATTTTGTTGTGTTTTCCATTGACATATTCATAGATGCCTTGCATATTTGTATACATATATTTATATTTTACTGTTGTATTACACTTCTGGTTGAAGGCTAACTGCATTTTGTTGCCTGTATCCATGGCAATGACAATAAAGTTAAATCAAATCTAATCTAATCTAATCTAAATTTCTGTGCGTAGAGACCTGCCTATTTTCAGATTGCACTTATAGTCTAGAACCAAAATTCTGATGCAAAAAAATAATAATAATGTACTGGATAAGGCATCTCTGAGTTTCAAAATCTGAATGATCACCATATGGTAGCAGCAAAATTGAGACATTGCTATTCTTTGGGTCCTTCTAGCAGCCTTTTAGATTTTTTTGCTACCTGGATATGACCTGCCTGTCCTTTGCCAACTAATTATCGGGAATATTCTGTCTATACTTGTATAGGATTTCAGGTAAGAGTTCTATTTTGATTGCAGTTGGTTTCCACTCTCTCTGGATTTGAATAGGGCATTGAGACCAGTTTTTTTCAATTTAGGCTTCCATAATGCTCGGTGACCATTTTATGTTTGTAATTAATACATTTTAAGGTTGTTGAAAAGTTACTTTTAAATAATTTGTCCAGAGTTGTATTTCTTTTTGTGGTCAACTGTCTTCAGCACTTTCTTCACAGAGCTGTTGAATATTCATCCAAAAGAAACTGATGATGATGATGATAAATGACATAGGGTGCTTGAAAATGTTGCATTATATTTTGTTATGTTATTATATTATATACAAGAGGTAAGAAACCATAGTACACATAGCTTAGAACAGGGGCGTCAAATTCAAGGCCTGCGGGCTGGATCTGGCCCATGAGGTGGTGTGCTTAGATTTAGCCTGCGGGGTCGCCCTGGAAACAGAGAAGGACTGGCCCACAGTGCCTCTGTCAGCCAAAAACTGAGCCTGGGGAGGCCGCCCGGGCCACCATAGATGCCCCAGACACAAATGACATTGAGCTGGCCACGCCCATCTGGCCATGCCCCTCCGCCCCCCCCCCCAGGTCAAACACAACCCTGATGTGGCCCTCAATGAAACTGAGTTTGACACCCCTGGCTTAGAAGGTGCCTAAATTTTAGTACTCACAAACAAGGATACCTGAATGTTTTAAGCATGTTTTGTTCTTCTCGTTTCCTTTCTTTAGCTATGGTTGACGTTTGCTCCAGTGGCTGACATAACAGCTGAACGATTCAATACCTCACTGGATATGGTCAACTGGCTCTCCATTGTGTATTTTGTGGTATCAGTTCCTGTGGGGCTTCTAGCAATATGGATTCTGGACACCATCGGACTCAGATGCGCTGTAAGGAGAACGGAAAGGAGCCCGAGTCGCTTTCTTCCTATCGTGATCTTCAGAATGGGTTTTGAGGATTTTCCCAAAAATTGGTGGGGTCTGCTTCACTGGAAAATCAGAACTGGCCAATGAGCTCCCCCAAAATCAGATAACTCACTTTTCACTGCTGACCCTACACAACTGGAAGCCATGACACTGAGATATGTGGTAGATTGCAAGGTAGGGAGACAGCAGTGCACACCACGAGACGTTTGACATAAAGGAAGGGAGAGATGGATGCAACATGAAGCGTAATATCATATGTGCTTTTTCTTTACATTAAGAAAGAAAAGAAATTTAAATTCAGATCTGGTTTGGATTTTTTCCTCCACTCAGTTTTCTGATGAAACAGGTCTCACTGCGTGTTTGTATGCGCACATGCAAACATACTGAAGTTTAGTTCAGGGGTCTCCAAACCTGACAACTTTAAGTGGACTTCAATTCCCAGAATTCTAGGAGTTGAAGCCCACAAGTCTTAAAGTGGCCAAGTCTGGAGACACCTGATTTAGTTCATGAGAGGAATGTGTTACGGATATTCATTGCAACTGGGAGAGTGGAGAAAGTCCCGCACTTCAAACCTGAATCACATCAAAAAGCCCCCGACTAAATACTCAAAAACTGCTACTTTAATACTGGAATGTTAAAATATCAAGGTTCTAGTTTGTCATTTCCCAACCTGGTGGTTTTTATATATGTTGGGATTTCTGTGCACAGAATCACAGCCAGCATAGGATGGATAGACGTTCTGGGAACTAGAATCTCAAGATAGGTGCAGCGCAATAGACTCAATAAAGTATTAACATGATGCATTTATTTATTTATTTATATATTTGGTTGGTTGGCTTACAGTATTTATAGCCTATCCTGTGTTTATAGCCTTTAGGGGGTACAAATATGGACATAATAGTTGAAGACCTCACCTAGTTTTGACCTTCGGTGTACATCCTGAAAGATGTGATAGGATCCTTTGTACATGTATTCTTCAGCAGCCAGGGATATGGGGATTTTCCCATGGAGCTGGAAAATGTTATTTTCAACATGCCCAGGACACAGTATTGCACAATCTTTTAAAATGACTTTAAGGAAGTTTTGTGCGCATGTTTGTTTAGCAGTAACATTGTGATCTGGGTTTGCTGCCATTTCTTTTCTGCCCATGGGTTTGGAGTTGGAGTCTTCCCATATGATTTCACTGTGTTTGAAACTGATCATTGATAAGGTAAAAGTAAAGGTTCCCCTCGCACATACAGGCTAGTCATTTCTGGCTCAAGGGGCAGTGCTCATCTCCGTTACAAAGCCGAAGAGACAGCGTTGTCCAAAGACATCTCTGTGGTCACGTGGCCGGCATGACTAAACACCGAAGGTGCACGAAACGCTGTTACCTTCCCACCAAAGTGGTCCCTATTTTTCTACTTGCATTTTTACATGCTTTCGAACTGCTAGGTTGGCAGAAGCTGGGACAAGTAACGGGAGCTCACTCCGTTACACAGTGGTAGGGATTCAAAATGCTGAACTGCCGAACTTTCTGATCGACAAGCTCAGCATCTTAGCACTGAGCCACTGTGTCCCTTGATCTTTGATAGTCAACGTATAACTTTGCCTTGGAGATGCCTTGATAGCTGTTCATCCCACTGCAAATTCTGTATTTTTGGACAGAGCCTGCTTGCAGCTAACACTATACTTTTGGGTTTATTTACACAATTGCAAATGGCATTGATCCAGCTTCAGTTGAGCAAGGCATCCTGCATGCGCATGGTCTCTTTTTCACTAATATCAAAAATATGTCTATTGAGAATAATCTGGGAGTGTCTTGACATTTTAGGACCATGGACAGCGTCCAGCACCTTACCAACTTCCATGTAATTCTGTGAGGGGGATGTCATTCCTTGAATGCTTTACGTACAGTGATGTACTGATACTGGTTTATAAAAGGCAATTGTTAAATTTTCTGGAATTTTACAAGCCAGTTGAGCTGCAAAAGCCTAGGATACCAATCAGTTATTTGGCAGCTAGTGGCACGGCAGAGGCAGAGCTAGATAAGATGGTAGTTATACAATTTATCAGCATGCCACTTGTTTAATTAGCACCACCTACTTGAATTTATGCTGGGTGAGACAGAATATCCCTGCCCATCTTCCAGATTCTCTGCTTCACCATGGGCTAGCAGTCTCATGCTATTTAATATAAAGATTAGGCAGCCTTCTATTAAGTACTTGATTGCACACTTGGAAATATAACTCAGGAGGGCCTTTTTAGCAATGTTACTCAGTCTTATGACCAGGTCATGGAAGACTGATTCATGCTAACACTGGCTGTGTGGCTTTTTCTCTTGCAGGTGCTACTCTGCGCCTGGCTCAACATGGTGGGCAGCATCATTCGTGCTTTCAGTGTTATCGATAGCCTGAGCTTAGGCTCCCTAAACTACGTCTACCTTCTTGTAGGACAGTGCCTCTGTGCTGGGGCCCAGCCACTCATCATCTTTGCACCAACCAAGCTAGCAGCCCTATGGTTCCCTGAAGACCAACGAGCCACAGCCAACATGATTGCCTCTATGTGTAAGTAATTAAGCCGGCATTGGTTATTCCACAGCTGATGCAGTAAGATGGGAGCCCTGGATTTCCGATGTCACTTTTCTTGGGGGAACACAATGCTTTCTCTGTTGAGGTTTCCATTGTCAGTGCACGAGTTTGTTACTAGCTTACTGGACAGGGCTGTTTTGTGAAGATGTACGTACTAGACTTTTGAACTATGTAAGTAGGGTGGAGAATCTGTGGCTCTCCAGATGTTGCTGAAGTAGGACTTCTAGTGTTTCTCACCGCTGGCTATGCTGAGAGATAGAAATTGCAGTTCACTAATGTCTAGAACAGCGTTTCTCAGCTTCAGCAATTTTAAGATATGTGAACTGCAACTCCCAGAATTTAAAATGAGAAAGGTTAAGCATAACTCATCTATATTCATGAGAGAGAATGCCATCTGGCATTCTAGGTATACCTATACTATATTTTCCAGAAATCATGCTGCTAAGTAAATTGAGTTGAATATTAATTTTATTTAATTATTTCACGGTATCTTACCTAAGCAGTTCTCATTGACTATGAATAAATGAATAATTCTCCTTAGGAAGAACAAAAAAAAAGATGATATATCAATGTCCTGATACATTCTGTAGGTAGGATCTCCCAGAATTGGCCACACAACATTTGAATGTCAAATCATGACTAAAACTGAAAACCATCTTCCTCGTTTGCTAGTTGTCTATTGAAGGGCTCTGCCTGATTTGTTCAGCCTTCGACCTGAAAAATTATTGTTCGATCACAAGGGCTGACTTGATGAGTTAGGCGCCTCAGCCCCTTTCTCACATGTGGCACAATTGAGAAAGCTCTTCGCCTGCCATTGATGAGAATCCTAAAGCCCATTTAGAGGGGTTTTTGAAAAATGAGGCCACCCCAAGATTCCCATTTCTCAGTTTGCTTTCTTTCTAGCGAAGCAAAAGCTCCCAACAAAAGGCTTCTGAAGAGATTGTGGCTTCATGTATGGAACAGATAGGGATTCTACTTGTTCTCCTGTCAATGTTGAATGTGTTCCAGTTACTTTGGTGAAATCATATCCAATCATCTCTTTTTTTTTCTTTTTGCATTTCCGTTTAGCCAATCCATTGGGCATGCTCATAGTTAACCTATTGTCACCGACAATTGCTCCAGAAGTGAAAGATATCCCTTTACTGGTAAATGATCATGAAATTTCACGTAGTATTGAGCACGAGGTTATCTGTTTTTGGGGAGGCAAATTGCAGAATTGCTGATGTTTTTTAAAAATTGGCCGGGTGCCTGTTTTACAGGTTGGGGTGTCTGCAGCGCCCGCGATCCTTGGCTGCCTCCTGTCCACTGTCGGCGTTTGCAGTAGTGTCCCTCCAACTCCCCCGTCAGCGAGTGCTGACCATTTAAACTCACCAACTTTCTGTGAAGGTTTGAAAATGGTAAGATGCAAGCAAAGCAAAGGAATAAACTGGGGGATTGCCCCTGTAGTTACAGGTAGTTCTTGGTCAAGAAATATTCAAAGTTGTGATGCATTTCCCCCTGCCCCACAAAAGGGAATTTCGACCAGGGGTGGGATTCAACTGGTGTTACTACCAGTTCAGGGACTACATTTTGCTGTGCGCGTGTGTAAAACAACCTTAGGCTGTGCCGCCCGGACAGCTGAAAAGCATTGCGTGCAGATGCGCAGCGTTTGAAAAGCCTCTTTTTTCCTGCTTTTTCAGCCTCAGCTATGCCACGCAAAGCAACTGAGGTTGAAAAAGCAGGAAATAAAGGACAGGTAAGAGCCCGGGCGGGCAGGCCGGCCAAACAGCAGCAAACACAGAACCGTTTTGGTGTCTGCTGCTCTTCAGAGCTACCGGCTCCATAGAACCGGTAGCATCCCACCCCTGCTTTCGACCCGTTACAAGAGCCACCCATCTGTCATGTGATCGCATTTGGATACTGGGCAAGCAGCCCATACGTACAGCCAATGGCAGAGTCTCCTGCTCACGTGACTGCAATTTGTGAGGCATTTTTTTTGTGCTGGAAACCAAAAAGACGGTTTGGCCGTTTTCTTCCAGTTTAAAAAAAAAAGAACAGCCATTGCAAACAGTGGGTTCACTTAGCGACCATGGTGTCTGTATCAGAGTTTCAAGGAACAGTCCCATAGCAAGCAAAACTCCGAGGCAGGTGGGCCTTTCCCCATAGTGAAAGGGAATAACCCTCTTATGGTACAGAGTAGCCTCCCCTGCCTGCTAGGGAAAGTGCATCCAGTCTTTCACAAAAGCCATCGGTAGGCTCCCTGATTAGACCGGTAGATTGGGAAGCCCCAAAACCAATAGCGGTGCGTTGGGAGACATATTATGAGATTTAAAAAAGGTTCTGGATTCAAAATGGCTCAGGAGTAGACTGCAGTACCTGGTGCAGTAGAAGGGATACCCCTCCTCTAGGAGGCCACTTGGGTCAAGAGCAGAGGTGGTATTCAGCAGGATCTGACCAGTTCTGGAGAACTGGTAGCGGAACATTTGAATCATTCAGAGAACTGGCGAATACCACCTCTGACTGGCCCCGACCCCATCTCTTCTCTGCCTCCCAAGTCCCAGCTGGCTCTTCTTTGGTTGCCCAGCACAGGAGAACAGAACTGAAAAGCAGGTTAGTGGGGTGGGGAGGGAATGGGGATTTTGCAGTAACCTTCCCCTGCCATGCACACGAAGCCATGCCCACAGAACCGGTAGTAAAAAAAATTTCGAATCCCACCACTGGTCAAGAGCTGGGATGTAAAGGCGCATAGGTTAATCAAGCAGTTCCATGACGGGTACCCCCAGAACTTAATGACTACTACATTCATTTGCAAAAAAAGGTTATAAAATCAGGTGTGCGTGGGGTGGGTGTGTGTCGCATGATGGCCCCCTGAATGACTGGCACAATTTACTACTGTAATTCTGGGCTCTATTACAGTCCAGGTTGCTGTCAAGGGCTATTATCTGTATATACGGTTGCCCTGAACAGCCAGATGGATGGTATATAAATTTTGTGCGCATGCGTGTGTGTGTGTAAAACCAAACCTAGGTTATATGGTAACAAAAAAAGTATCCTTCTTGCTAGGTAGCCTGGTTGACTACCTTTGTCGGTGTTTAAGGAATCAGTCCATGATTGGAAACTAATCAAAGAGAGAAACAACCTGGAATTAAGGAGAAACTTCTTAACGGGGAGGACAATTGACCAGTGGAACAGCTTGCCACCAGAAGTTGTGGGTGCTTCATCACTGGACAGCCACTTGTCTGAAATTGGGATAGAGCTACAGCAGGGGACTGGACTAGAAGACCTCCAAGGTCCCTTCCAGCATCTATTCTGCTCTATTCTACTCTACTCTATTTCTATTCCGTTCTATTCTGTGCTGAATGAGACCAAAGGCCTTTAGGAGTCGATAAAATGCCTAGTGGTGTCTGCAGTAGAAGCAGGGTGGTCAGCACAATGGAAGCAGAAATGGCACACTGTGTGCCGTGACATCCCTTGCACACATTAAAGTGGCATTCCTCTGGAACTCAAACACTGTGTTTCTGAACATTAGCCTTGCAAATCAGAAGTCCTGAAACACAACATGCAAATCCAGCAACACCTTTGAATTAGTTTTATATTTGTAATTGTAATAATAAGCCGCCCAGAGTCATTGTAAAGTGAGATGAGTGGCATATCCATTTTAATATTGAAATAAGTAAAACTTCTACTAGCACCTTGGATAATGTGCTGTGTTTTGACAACTCTCTCTTACTGCCCTTGCTCCAGCTCAGCCGAAATAAGCCTTACATCATCCTGAACCTCTGCTTTGGCACGGGGATAGCACTCTTCACATGTCTCAGTTCTCTGTTGGAACAGATCCTCTGCGTCAATGGATATTCCAACGTAAGTCCCTTCTTCTTTTTATGTGTCTGTGCCAACATGGCATTGATTGGCAGGAGAAGCTAAGACAACCCGGGAACTTGGAGAGGTTGGGTTGTGAGATAAGGAAGCAAGCTATCACATGCTGTCTGGTGCAAATAACCAGGCCCATGCCTGTGGAGTTCAAACTGACTGCTTTATTGTTGTGTGCCTGTTGCACAGGAATCTCCCCAGACTTGACAGCTTTCGCCTGGTAAAGACTAGATAAGGTTTAAAGGTATTCAGTGGGAGTTCGACCTTTGCCCCTCTTGTATTTACTTCATGGGTCCAGACTAATTTCCTGCTTCAGCCCTCTCACCAACTTGGAAGGTTTCTTTCTAATACATGGCAGTTGCAGAAGCAGTGCAGGTAGAAAACTAGGAAGTACTTTTTTCTCATGCTGAAACGTGTGATGAATGGTTGCACGGGCTATGTCCTCTCCAAATTGTCCATGCTCCCTCGGGACATTTAATTTGAAGAGTCTGGCGGGGAAAGGAGAATGGGAGACTTACCCTGACCCTTGAAAGGCACTTATTAAGTTTGGTTCTGTTCTTCTGTTCTTATTCTTCTGTTCAGTTGCATAACTGGCCTGCCTCGAACTGTGAGATGAGTGGCATATAAATACGATAAGCAAATAAATAATTTCTTTAAGATGATACATCAGCAGTAGAGGGCAACCATAAGAGCAGAATTAGATAACTTGTATGTTGGTAATAGTTAATAGTGTCAAATTGTTCAACAATAAAGCAAAACAAAACCAATCAGGTCTTCTATTGGAAAAATATTTTATTTTATTCCGAAAACCACCAAGGGTCTCCTCAGTTTCTTTTTTCACATAAAAGGCAGGAAATGCATCTCCACAGCTCTAAAAGTTATTTGCAGTCAAATTGTTGGCTTGTTTGCTTTATGGGTCCCCTATAGACCTTCCTAAAGTATATAGGCTGATAGAAGTAGGGCACACATAGTCTAACAGAGCTGTGTTTCAGAGCTCCAAAATGCATATCCAAGGTTATTCTGAGGCTTGAAGCTGGCCAAATGAGGGTTGAGGAAACAGCCTGCTTATTAATTTTCAATTACTGGCTTAAATGACATGATTTCCCAGTAGAGTTGATCTCATTTCTTTTATTGAATAAATTCCAATCCACTTGGGCTCAGACAATTGTTAGGAAACTTCCATCGTGCGGCCTCCCTCTTGATTTCCTACATTCTGTCAAATTTGCACAAGCTGAGAGAGTTATCGGAAAAAGGCCTTTTGATACTAAGAGACCTTATACCGAAGTATATCCAAATATACTTTGATCAGCCTAAATAGAAACCAGGTAATTATATCCATTTACTAATCTCTCCATTTCAACAATAGTTTTCCTTCTGATTCAGATGCTCAAAGCTAGTCAAACCTGTTCTCATGCAGAACAGGTTCGGTTCAGTTGATGGACTCAGATGAATGCACCTTCACGCATGGACACAACCTCTGTAAAGAACCTCAAGTATTTATTTTCCCTTTGTTGTTGCTTGTTAACTTTTTCTTACCAAGAAAAGCTATACAGTATTACACCTACTGTAGCAAGATTTTGATGACCTCTAGTCTCCATGAGTAACCTCTTCGTATTTACTCTAATATTTGGTCCTGCATGAACGAACTATTCACTGTAACTTATTACTGAGTTTTTAGATCGCTAGGTTTTATAGTGCAATTCTTTTTTACATTGTTAATTTACTGGTTTACAACAGACTGAGAATCTAGTTTTAGAATTTAGAGTTAGTATTTAGAAGTTTTAGAATTCACTTATCATTAATTTTGGGGAACGTCTTTAGACCATGTGTCCTTTAGTTCCTAATTTGCATTTCAACAGTGCAGTTCTGCATTGGGTTACATACTTTAAATACATTACATTTACCAGGGTGAATTTTGTTATAGCTTGTTTTAAGCTGGTCACGTTCACTGGCTGAAATGAAATGCATCTTCTCGTATTGATTAAGTGATTTTTGCCACACACACCCCCATCCTGTGAATTTGGGCACTCCGATTTTAATTGATGTCTTGTTTCACCTGAGAGTAAGACCTTGTCTGAGCATTTGAAACGCTGGTTTTCCACCTGCAGAAATTCCAGGGATGGAATAAAAACATCCAGCACAGCTCTTAATCAGCATACTGTACATCTGAAAGCCAATTAGATCTGGCTGGCCCACCTGAACATTTGTACCTTCACAGTTATTTCCCCCCCTTTGAATTAGAATTAAAATGAGAAGAACTTTATTGTCATTGTATGAGTACAACGAAACTGTGGATGCACCCCAGCAACTGTTCGCAATACAATAAAACCAAAGCATTTAAAAATGAAGATAAGAAAGATAGAGTACTCACGTCTCCATTTGCAATGTGAGAGTACAATATCTACGAATATACACAAAATGTACATCCAACACTGACTGTAACGCTTAGCCGAGTATAATACACAAGAGATGGATTGTATGTACTGCAATATGTTATTATACATCTGAATGGGGTATGGAGATTTCACATCTTTTCACATCTTAATGAGGTAGTGACTTCGTGTTTATTTGCGGTTCGGATGGCCCAGGGAAAGAAACTATTTGTTAGTCTAGTGATGTGGGATTTTATTGACCTAAAACGCCATCTAGACGGCAACAGGTCAAAAAGATAATTGCCAGGGTGTGAGGGGTCTTCTATAATGGTCTTGATTCTGCTTTGGCAGCGGGACCTGGCTAAGTCTTCCAGGGAGGGCAGAGGGCAACCAATGATCTTTTGAGCTGTATTTATCACCCGTTGTACAGTTTTCCTGTCCTCAACTGTGGAGCCTGCATACCACACATCCAGACAATATGTCAGAGTGCTCTCCACAGAGGCTTTATAGAAAGCCAGCAACAGCTTCTTATCCAGATTGTTTTTCCTGAGAACCCGCAGGAAGTGCGGCCGCTGCTGAGCCTTCGTCACTATGGCCTTGGTGTTAGGGGACCAGGAGATATCAGCTGAAATATGGATGCCAAGGAATCTGATCATAGGGACATTTTCCACTCGTTCTCCGTTGATGATGAGTGGGGCATGGTCCTGTCCATGTTACCTGAAGTCCATAATCAGTTCTTTAGTTTTATGGACATTCAGTGACAGATTGTTCTTTGAACACCAGATAGACAGGTTCTCTACTTCTTCCCTATATGCTGTCTTCATCCTCTCTGGAGATGAGATCAATCACGGTCGTGTCGTCCGCAAACTTTATGATGTTGTTTGTTGCGTGGCTTGGTGAGCAGTCAAAGGTGTACAAGGCATATAGCAGGGGGCTCAAGACACAACCCTGGGGGGAACCAGTACTGAGTGTAATAGTGGAAGAAAGGTGGGGGCCAAGTTTAACAGACTGTGGTCTGTTTGTCAAAAAAATCTTAATCCAGGAGCACGTGGGGGTGGGGACCTGCAGATTATACAGTTTGGTTACTAGTATATCTGGGATGATAGTGTTAAACGCAGAGCTGTAGTCCACAAAGAGCATCCTCACATGGCTCTGTTTGTTCTCCAGATGACTCAGTGCTCTATGAAGTGTGATGGCCACAGCATCCTCTGTAGATCAGTTTGCTCTATAAGCAAACTGATGTTGATCAAAGGAGGGCGGGAGGTAGTCTCTGATGTGCTGTGCAACTAGTCACTCAAAAACCTTCATAACGGAGCTTGTTAATGCTATGGGCCTATAGTCATTGAGAGTGTTTATATTTGTTTTTTGGGGAATGGGGATGATGGTTGCAGCCTTCAGGCATTGTGGGATGATGGCATGTGTTAAAGATAGATTGAACAGCTCTGTAAGTATTTCTGCCAACTGGTCAGCACACGCTTTAATTACTGCACCAGGAATGCCATCAGGCCCTGCAGCTTTCCTGGGATTTACTGCTCTCAGTGTTTTTCTCACCTCATGCACCTGAAGAGAGAGAGGTGCAGCGTCATGGTCCTTGTGAGGCAGTATGTCCAGGTTCTTGGTGGTCTCAAAGCGTGCAAAAAAGCTCTTTAGTTCCTCTGCCAGAGTGCTACTGCTCTCGCTGTTTGTTGGGTCCTGGCCTTTATAGCTGGTCAGGGCCTGTATCCCCCTCCACATCTGCCATGGGTCACTGTCAGTAAAGTGGCCCTCAACCTTCCTCCTATACATCTCCTTAGCATGTTTGATGCCCCTTCTCAGCTCAGCTCTGGCAGTGCTGTACTGTGAGGTGTCACCTGCTCTAAAAGCCAGATCACGGGCCCTGATGAGAGCCTAGACTTCGCTGGTCATCCAGGGTTTCCTGTTTGGGAAGGTCCGTATGCGTTTGTCCACAGTGACATTTTCTACACAGGTCTTCATGTAGAAAAGCACAGTCTCTGTGTATAACTCAAAGTCCTGTTGTTTGAAGATGCTCCAATGTGTGCAGGAAAAACAATCCTGAAGCTGAGAGAGGGCATTTTCAGGCAAGCATCTAATAGTTTGACTGCTAGGTTTTTTTTCTCTTCTTAAGGGGAGTGTAGGCTGGTAGTAAAAGCAGGGTGAAATGGTCTGATTGTCCTAAGCGGGGAAGAGGTTTTGCTCTATAAGCATGCTTAATATTTGAATATACATGATCAAGTGTGTTTTTTCCCCTGGTTGGGCACTTAACATGTTGGTAAAGTTTGGGGAGCACAGTTTTTAGGCATGCTCTGTTGAAATCCCCAGCAATGATGTGAACGCCCTCAGGATGAGCTCTCTGTTGCATGGTAATTATGTCTTGAAGGTGACTGAGCGCCATGCTAACATTAGCATCTGGAGGTAAATATACAGCAGTGATGGTAATTACTGTTAGCTCCCGTGGCAGATAAAATGGTCTACACTGAACAGTCATGGCCTCTAAATCTGGTGAGCAATGGCTGTTTGTTATTTTACTGTTTGTGCACCAGTCTTTACGTACATAAATAATTAGGATCCCTCCCCTTCTCTTACCAGAAGCTATATTGCGATCTTGACGGTGCAAGATCCGGTCCGCTAGTTCTACTTTGTAAGCTGGCAAGAGATCTAACTTCAATAACCGCTCCCAAATTCAGGGAAGACATTGGAAGGGCATTATATCTCAGCCATGGAATTCTGGGAATTGAAGTTCACACATCTTAAAGTTGCCAAATTTGAGAAAACATTGATTTAAATAAATAACTTCTGCCATTGAGGTGAAGTTATCGAAACATTAAGGAGTATTTTGTTAGATTGTCTTTACTGCCAAAGATTCCTGGTTGCAGCCAATAGCCCACCATCTACTCAGCTGAATTCATTTTATTTGCAGTTATTATTGTCTAATCGCTGTGACTTTTATTTCTCTGGTTGTGGTTAAGTTTTGCTTAACTAATGTATTTGCGAAATAGAATTCTGATAATATCGGTTTAATTGCATGAGCACTTTTGTTATCAAGTTTTTCTCCTTTTTTGTCAATGTCATAAAATGTATTGTATGGAGTATTATATTATATTGTGCTCAGAAATTGTGCCACATGTTTCAGCTGTGTGCCCTGCATTTCAAAATCACCCATAAAATGAAGATCCAAAGTTTCCCTCAAAAGATAATATCTAGCCTTTCCAGTTCTTAGGACATTAAAACTGGGAGGTTAACCACAGATCACTTAGCTGAACCCAGGATCTCTCTTGATAATCAGTTATAAGACTTATGAGGCTTCTATTTTCCTTTTGAATTTCCCCTAATTTCCGGGTTTCAATATATTACCAATATCACTAACTTGAATTACTGAACTCATTCTTCTAGATGTATTATATACGTACAGAGATACACATTTAAATAGCAATTGCACTTAGACTTATTTACCGCTTCATAATGCTTTACAGCCCTCTCTAAGCAGTTTTGAGTCAGCATATTACCCCCCACAATCTGGATCCTCATTTTACTGATCTCAGACAGATGGAAGGCTGTGTCAACCCTGAACCAGTCAGAATCGAACTCCCGGCAGTCGGCAGAATTAGCCTGCAATACTGCATTCTAACTACTGCACCATCACAGCTCTATACTTTATACTTTCTCAATACTTTATCTCAATACTTTAGAACTGAAGTAACAGAACTGGAGATCCGAGGTATCTAGTTCCTTCAATGTACAGGTGTTTCTAAAATTGTTACCAGCTTGGTGGTTATAATTTTAGTCATAAATCCAGTAATTAAGAAAAAACAGAGTACTACCCTTTATTCTTAAAATTATTCAACTATGTGCCCTAATTCAATATCTTGTACAGTTTTTTGCAGGTTTGACTGGAGCCTTGTTCATTATATTTGGGCTCATTGGTGCCTTCTTTCTTGGACTTTATGTAGATAGGACAAAGAAGTTTACGGAAACTACCAAAATCAGTTTTGTTCTATCTGCTTTGACTTGCATTGGATTTGCAGTGGTAAATATATTTTGAAACTGAAATAATGCTTCTGTCTACCCTTCTGTAGAGAAAATGAACCTTTCAGTTAAATAAATCCCGTCCTCTAAGCAATAGTTAATCATCTAAATCTTACAATGTGATTATTAACAGAAGTGTGTTTTCCATGTAACCATAGATATTTAAGTAAGGACTGATTAACACTTAATCCCTCCAGTGCCAAGAGGTATAATTAAGGTTGAAATATTTTCACTTTCACTCTGATACTGGAGAAGGAGATCAGAGGAATATTTTGAAGATAGAGTAAGTAGAATCATTGCACTTCTTTGATCCCAAACTATCTCACTGAAGTCTTAGGAGGATAAAATAAAATGAGTAGAAATGCGGAATAGAGAAATAAAAACTGAACCCATGTCAATATTTCTTATGACCATCTAATCATTCCATTTTATTTACAAACTTTTAACTAGTATAAAAGTTCTCATGAGCATACTGGTGGTTGAACTAATGCCAAGACATATTTTGTGGGTCTTAATCACTTATTACTGCTTTAAAAACTATTATTTTTGTAGAACTGACTTCCCAACTTTGCATCTTCAAAAAGAAATGGGGCTTCACTTCCCAAAATTCCCTGTTGAAAGTTCCATGTTGCTTTTCATGTTTAGTTTACCTAAAGAGAGAGCCAATTTTGGTATAACGGTTAAGCCACTAGTCTTGAGACCAGGAGACTGTGAATTCTAGTCCTAATTTAGGCACAAAGCCAGTTGGGTGACCATGGACCAGGTGCTAGGAAATAGGCAATGGCTAACCACTTTCAAAACTTTTGTCTAGAAAAAAAGGCATGGATTTGTTGACTCAGGAGTTGCCAATCCCTCAAATTAAATATTATCTAAAGAAGTAAATCTAAATGGTTGCATTAGTTGTCAGAGAGAAACTGGAGAACAGCATTGCCTAATTTGCCATACTCAGATATAAATGCGTAGCGTGGCTCTGGGTGGCAGGAATATCTGCTGGACATAAAGCTGTAGAGACTTCCCCATTTGCTATGGTTATGTTCTCTTCTCTTCCTGTAGGTATCTCAGATGAGAGAGCAAACCTACGCTGTGGCAATATTCAGCAGTCTTTTTGGGCTTTTTGGATTTTCTATCTATCCCATCGTGATGGAACTAAACGTTGAATGCTCTTATCCTGTGGGAGAAGGAACATCATCAGGGATCATTTTTGTGACCAGGTAGATAAATAGATTCATTCAAGTACCCTGTTTCCCTGAAAATACAATCTACCCTGAAAGTAAGTCCTAGCTTGATTTTTACACGTGCCCAATATAAGCCCTACTCCCAAAATAAGCCCTAATTAAGATCCCGCCCACTCCAGGGTGCATGGGTAAAAATTAAGCTAGGGTGAGAATGTGGGGTGGTGGAGATGTCCTCCTACTTACCTTTGGACAGTTGTAGCCAGGCCTCGCACACCCCGACACCTGCCTTGCTGGCCCATTTTTTCTGTAGGTCTGCAAGGCTGGCAAGGCTTTCTTGAAGGCCTCTGTAGCTGATAACAAAGCTCTGGATCGACCCAGAGCTTGGTTATTGGCTGCAGAGGCCTTCAGGAAAGCCTTGCCGGTTGCAGAACAGGAAGTTTCTGAAGGCCTCTAACAGCGAAAAGTAGGCCAGGAGCGATGCTCATAAGTGAGGTTAGTCAGTGGATGACATCTCCTGAAAATAAGACAGGGTGCCTTTTTTGGTGGCAAAAAAAAAGACAGGGTCTTATTTTCGGGGACACATGGTAATTGAAATTGGAAATGGAAAATGGAAATTGATCTTCTCTAGGCAATAACTGGACTCATTTACTGGGCTTTAGGACACTTGATTTGGGTTGAGTTTAGTGTGATGTTAATTCCAGCCATTGTGGTTAGCAAATAATAGTTTATGGCCCAGCATCACATGTGAACCAAGACCCTTGGGCTTTAGGCTGTTCAACGAAAAATGCTGGTTGAGGAAGTTTGTGTATCTTAAAGTTGGCAAGTTTGAGAAACACTAAATGAATATATGATTTCCAGGAGCAATGATTCTTTTTGCCTTTGAAGCCAGTAGGAGTCAGAATTGCCCAAATCCTGGAAAATCACTAATAAATTTAAATAACTTGTTTTTCTTCCACACTTTGGAAGTGAAGCCAAACAAAATCATTTCTAAAAGGATTTGTGCACAATAGTGCAGGACATTGCAGAATAGAGCCATTAAATGTTTCCCAAGAGGGAACGGCTCTTTCCTCTTTGCCTTTGTTTAAACTCTTATTTCTCATCTCTCTGCTACATATAAATCAAAATGCATAAGCTGTGTTACAAAACAGGTACTTTATTCAAGTTACACAAGGTTGAAGAAAAGAAAAGGCTGTGTTCGTTCAAGTAGAAAAGACTTCACGGAGGGACAGTGCAAGAATTCTTATTAGGAAAGTGTGATTTCCTTGGTTACTGTAGTTGCTTTGTGCATGTTTTCTGTTTTGTTTAATTACAGTCACCAGTTCTAGTAGTAATATACCCACCAAAAGAACAGTATTCTTGTGGCTTAAGAAAAGCTATGTTTTTCAAACTCTTCCCCTGCTTCATAATTTTTATATATATATATATATATATATATATATATTCAGTGCATTCTTGTTTGGCTGTGGTAGCTAGAAATTTTGGAATATGCAGTCTTATTGATGCCAGCTAAGGAAAAAAAAACTAGGTTAGATTCTACAGTAGATCAATAGCTAGGCCAGGGGTGGGCAATCTGCGGCTCTGGAGCCGCATGCGGCTCTTTCATTCCTCTCTGCGGTTCCCTGTCACCGGTCAGCTTCACAGTTGTTAGGGATTTTGGTTAGAACAGGCAGAGGAAAAAGGATGCCGCGCTAGGAGGAGACACTACAGACTTTTGATTGGCTCCAGAATTGAATGGGAGGCTTCTGGTTAGGACCTTTGTGGCTCTTTGAGTGTTTAAGGTTGCCAACCCCTGAGTTAGGTCATCCTGAAAGTCTATTTTAAGCCCCAAAGCAGATCTTGGTTGTGAAAGCTGAAAATCTTGCTTCGAAGTAGGTATATTTGAGATGTTATCATCAGATGGGTAACAGTCAGTTTTGTTTCAACAGCCAGATCCTAGCAGTTCTCTTCATACTACTCTTCCAGAACCTGGCTGTGGAAAAAAAGAATGCCCCTTTCTCCACTTGTGCTGCATCCTTAGGTCCTCCAATGGATTGGTCAAGTAAGTATGTCCCTTTGAATGATTTGTTGGCACATGAACATTTGGACTAAAGTTGCCAGCAGATTCTTTGCCAGCATCAGGGAGGCCTAAAGTTGAATGAAATCCTAGTAGTGCTCATGGGCTTTTTTTTAATGGCTTAGTCTATTGACTTTTATTGGGGACGGATGAAGTAATCAAGGATCTTAGGAAAATGACTGTATTGGTTTTCTACCCCAAATCCACTCTGACTGCTATTTGCCTTGGATGAAACTAGGCACCAGACTATAAACCAGGTGATTGTGAGCTCTCGTTCTATCTTAGCCATGAAAGCTGGCTAGATGACTTTGGGCCAGTCACACTGTCTCAGCCCAATTCACCTCACAAGTTGTTTCTATAGGGAAAATAGGAGGAGGAAAGAGTATTAAATATATCCTGTCTTGAGTTGTTGATAAAAATAATAAAGGTGGGATATAAAAGAAATCAATAACATGTCTGTTACCAGGACAGAAGACAAACTTCTTTCATCTTATTGTACCAGGGATCCCCACTTGGCACCTTTAAAGACTTGTGGACTTCAACTCCCAGATTTCCTCAGCCAGCTATCCTGGCTGAGGAATTCTGGGAGTTGAAGACCACAAGTCTTAAAGTTGCCAGGTTTGGGGCCCCCTGGTTTAAACCATCTCTGGGCAATCATCCAGGTGTGCAACCCCAATTCCTTTTGAGGGTCCCAGCAGCTTCTTTGATCAAGCTACTTAAGTTTGATGGTACAAAATAATTGTATGGTATTCTATTAAACTGTTATAGTTTTTTTTAAAAAACCCTCCAAGCTCCTTATTTAAAAAGTGGAGAGAATGGTGACCCTATGGTGCACTCTGAGCTTGGTTGTGGTTTGCTCTATCAATGTTGGTGGGAGTTTTGTTTTCTTCTTCGTAGTTGATTAGGTTGGTGTTTATTGTTTGTTTCACTTGGTAATTCCTTGACTGAGGAATTGTTGGCCACACTAACATTTATGATAGCTTCACCCACTCTCCATCAGCAGCTTTTGGTTTGCCCAAAATTAGGAAATGTGGCCTTGGTGCCAAAATGTTGTCTAGTCTGGGTTTAGTGTGTCAGCGTTGCAGATGTATAGACTTGTTTTGTGTGTCTTATTTGATGAACTTATTTTGATTTGTTCATCAAATCTCAAACAGGACATTATTGTGTATCATTGTATCTTTGGTTAAATGACTTTCTCGTTCTGCAATTTTAGTAAGTTTCTTTAGGCATATGTTGTTTTACAAAATACTAATACTAGCTCAGTGATAATAATTCAGACTTCAACTGATTTGGGTAAAATCCCCGTAGTTTTAAGTATGCAATATATTCTAGTTGTATGCATTGCTCCTCCCACTGAGATACCATAGGTAGCTAAGTGGAACTTATTTAAACGTGGTTTAAGAACTATTGGGTTTTGTTTCTATATATTTCAGATATTTTCAAATGATGGAGAATATCCATTTTTTTTCTTATAGATGCAACACTAGTGATGGCTGGAATCAGCACTGTGACATGCTGTTTCTTTATCATTACATTCCACACTAATTACAAGAGGATCTCTGCAGAAACATCTCAAAGCTTTTCCACCAACAAAACAGAAGATGAGGATGTTGTAGTAACGGCATGAGACGGAGTATTTCTAAATGAACTCTGGACTAAGCTGTATGCCTTACAATCAGTTGACACCTCAGCACCCCAAGTGCCTTAAACTCAATAAATTATAACTTTGTGATAATTGACTGTAAAACATTCTTTTTATTCCTTCTGATAGTTGAATGTGTAAGTGGCATGGAAGCATTTCAAACAGCCCTGCCCCATCTTCTTCCGAAAGGAAGAAAGTCATGGAATCATCAAGGAAAGAAGGGAAGGAGGGATCCAGAATCAGGACATAAATGCTAAGCTCTGTTGCGTTGTCTGGATTAACGGAGGACAAACAGACAATATTGGGAGCAGGGAGAGAAAAGGAAACTAGAGATTCATAAGTATTCCTAGAGGGAAGACTGCATCACAGATTGACAAACTGAACCATGCGCCATTCTAATAGGCAGCTTCATTCGTTGCCATTATGTATGGAGGCACTTTTTCAGAGTTAGAAACAAGGATTTTCAGTTAAATAGAACTTAATCTTAGGCAATGATGGTTAATCGCAACAAAGTTCTGGGTAATCACTCCTTTTCTTCCTAGAAAGCTGTGTAGAACTGTGGGTTCACCCAGGATAGTATATGGTTTGTTTGGCTCCACTTTGCACTATACCAAAGTTTATGGTGTAGTATGATTTATGTACGTGGCGAATTGTTGCAAAGAAAGTAGACGCTTGAAATATATAGAAGCAAAGTATTTCAGGTCTTCTAGGACATCTCATGTCCAGAGTGATTCAGTGGGAGCATTTGCGTGCAACTGATATACTGTAATTGCTATGAAGGGCAGAATTTGGCTGTTGGGAAGTACCATCCCAACCATGGAACTAATAAGCTTACAAAAATTTCATGGATTGCAGAGAACCACCAACATATTCAAGAAGGCCATGCCTCCCCAGTAGCTATGGGATATTATTTGATGGGACAGTGGAAGGGAACAAAACGGAAGAGCTCTGAAGAAGTAGCTCTCTGCTGCACATCATTTGTTACAGATCTTACTTGAAATGTTTTGAATGATAAATGGGAGTCCAAGTGTTCTGTTTGTTTAAACAAAGTAGAAAATGGGGGAAGCCAATGTATCATATCATCTATGAACAATCATCTTATGGTTTTAGAAGAGTGCATGCATTTATTTGCTCAGGATTATCTGTTACTTTGACCAGATACTTCGAAGGCTGCTTATGAGTTTTCCTGCAGCATTAAAAACACAACGGACAAGCATAACTAGGTACAACAGAAATTTAACTGTTATATTTTTAACAGAAAATTCTAGGCATATCCAGTAGTCACAATGTACTTGATACAGAATATTTTAAATCAATGCAAAATATACAATCAAAATGCAACCAAACATAAATACATAGCAAAAATATATATACAGATCTCCTTTTAAGGTTATAACCTGAAGACAAACATATTTAAATATCGAAATAAAAAAAAGCATAACTTATAAATAATGTTTACAGTCATTGCATTTCAGGACTGCTATTTCAAAGACAAAGAATTTGCAAGGCAGATTAAGTAGAAAACTAGGCACACAACAAAACTAATACCAAAGAAACAAGTAAACAAGTTGATGCGCGCTGCTAGCTTCTGTTTAAGCACTGTGCGGATGCTCTCCTAATTATTAGAATTTCACAATTGTTCGGGAGCAAGTTGTTAAGCGCATATATTGCAAAAAAGCAAGCACAGCACACAACTCTGTTGGCCACACATGATTTGTATGTTAGAAGTAGGCCTTTGCCACAAAATCTTGCTCATCTTATTTAATAGAAGAAAGTTCAATGCATCACCCCACCCCATCCCCCATAGTTTTCAAAGGCAAGGCTCCCTTCTGTGCCATCTTTTAGACTATGAATACATAAATGTTTCACACTGCCACCCTGTGGGATCAGGGGACTGGGTCACTGATCCAATGCTGATGTCAGCGAAGGCCTATCACCACCTCTCTTCTAAAGCAAGGCAGCTCAGGGCAGCAGGATGGAGGGGGAAAATCAGGAAGATTTACATTTCACAGCAATTCCAAGGGGTGCCAAGTCCACCTGGCGCCCTAAGGAGAAAGTGCATTTGACGGACAGCTGCCAAACGTAATCTTTCTCTAGAACTTTCTAGGCCTCTCATTTTGAATGAGGAGAGCACACTTCATCCACCTGAGGATCTGTGTGTGTGTCAACCACAGGGGCATGCCCAGAGAGAAAATATTTAATGTTTCAGTTGCAATCGAGAATAGCACAGCAGTGAACAGTTGTATATTAGCTATGTTTAAAGGCATCCCCTGTGACCTAATTCTTTACAAATGGCAATCATATCCCCTGAACTACTTCTGATCAATCATCTTCTTTTCGCAACTGGCTTACGAGTAATTCCTTTGCAAAGCCAGAGAACTCTACTTGACCAAGGAGGACTCTTAGAGATCTCCAGGAAGAAACTACCAACTTGTTTATTCTGAAGAGTCTTTGAGTCAAAATAGTTAAACTGCAGTACAAAATATGTAACTGAATCTTCAGGCAACCATGGGAATTAGAGGCTTACTTGGTTACCGATAAAGCAAGCAAAGGTGGTTTTTTAAAAAGCGAAGTAAATATATATACTATGCAAAAGCAAAGCAATGGAGACTCTCTGTGCCTCATTTTACCTATTTGATCAGGAAAACAATCTTTCTGAGTGATTTCTGGCTGGGGAATTCTGGGAGTTAAAGTCCACAAGTCTTGAGTTGCTAAGTTTGGAGACCCCTGGATTAAACCATCTGAACCTGCTACAGTTATCCCATACAATTTTCCTAATTTTCTTGGAAACCTTTTCTTGGATCAAAGATTCAGAACTATAAATGCTTAAAATACCCCCCTAAAATATCAGTGTAAGATGGTCCTTTGTTCTGAAAAACTTTTCAGATGCTTCTAGGAGTATATAAAACACTAATCCTAACAGGCTTATAGTTTCTTTATTTTGGTCACTGACCAGCAGAACAAGAGTTTTGAAAATAGGATTATAGCTGTCCTGTTGCAATAATAATATAAGCTATCTACAATAAAATTATCTAAATTTCAATCGCTACCAAGTGACTCATATTGCACAGCTTGTTCTGTATAAGATGTACTGTATTGTGACAAAAAAAACCAAAAGTGACATTGATAAACTTTTTCTTACCTAGAACCTTAGCAAGTAATTTTTCTTTCGCCTTTATATAATAGAAGTCGATGCGTCTTTAGAGACCTTTTATGTTAATTACAAAATAGTGAACATTATTTTTATGACTTCTTTACATTTTTGTTTTGGTACAGAGCAAATTAGGATTCTCACTTATTTCTTGAACAAATATTTATTTAAGCTTGCCAATTTGGCATATAAAATTTACATATCTGATAATCTTGCATCAGGCTTGTTCCTTACTTCTATAGATAAAGGCAGGGCAGCTTTTGAAGTGAATGGATAGATGCCAGGAAGATCAATTACGGAAAGTGATCACTTTTCCAAGCAGAACAGACTGCAATTACTAATTTTATTTTCTAAAAACATATTTGAATTTCATGTGGGGGCAACATGATATTTGAGAATAGCAATAGCTATTAAGCTTAATCATACCACTTTATACAGCCCTCTCTAAGTGGTTTATAGAGTCACCATATTGCCCCTAACAATCTGGGTCCTCATTTTACCAACCTCGGAAGGACGGAAGGCTGGGTCAACCTTAAAAATGCTTCTCTGACACAACTGATCTCCTTTTAGTCCCCCTAGGTAGACTAGACCATGAAATCAACTCCATTGAAAGGCTAAAGCTACCTTTTAAAATGGAAATTAGATATAGTAAAAGTAACATAATCTTGCAGGTCTGGTGATGTTGGGCCTCCCTCTCCTTATAGTTGAATGAATTAGGGACTTGTCTGCCTTCTGAACATTATCTGGATTTCTGCATTTTAAAAACTCTTTACCCGTTTAGCCTAAGGCATATCCAGCAAGGTCTAATTCCTTACTCTCTATCCCTCTATTCATGCAGAGAAAAACCCAGAGATTCAACAGGACTCATTTATCCAGAATTACTAAGTGAACAGATTATAATAACATCTATAGATAGACAGAAAATCAAAGCTAGCAGCAATTTCATATCTATAGAAACATGCAGAAAAACAACATGCACTTAATATTTTCCTTCTTGAAAAAAGATCAGTTTTATACACACCAAATTCCACTTCTCTACTTAATAGTGAAAGATTTGTGTATTGATCAGTGTAAATGCTCAATGGATATACAATATGTTTACACTACCAATGTTCACCAAACAGGGTTTCCAATCATCTTCACACATAGAGGACTTAAGCATATGTGTCTACTCTATGGCAACGGCATATATATGGGTGCTACATATTTCCTGCATGGAAGCAATATTTGTGCAGAAAATGTGACATATACTAGACTTGCTAGCTGAAATGTTATCTGAAATAAAGATATTGCGGACATACCTTTTACAAATCAAATCAGGGAATCCCCCCAAAATAGACTCTTTACTTTTCTATATTATTATTGATGAATGTTTAACATAAAGATCGCCATCAAAATTTCTGCAACTACGTATAAAACCCTCATTATAAATTATTTTCAGAAAATATAAACCATCTAGTTAGTTACAAATGTTTAGTCAATATATAAGTCAGTACAAATGCTACCGACTCTGAATCTTCAGATGAGTCAAAAGCAGCAGCTTTGAAGAGCATCTTAAGAGACCAATCAAAAAATAGAATTTTACTATTAAATGCAGATAGCAATGAAAAGCAGTGCACTAACATTTACAATCAACAGTCATAACCCCGTAAATATCAAAGCCATCCACCAAATGACATTAAATTGTGTTTTCATGTTCTATGAAGGGATTTCTTTCTAATGAAAATTACAGACAACCAAACTCACAAAAAGTAGTTATTTTGCAGTAGTTATTACGGTCTAAAGGGTCATAACCTAACCCATCCAAGTTACCAAAAGTCAAACTGATTCTATCCTCATTTAGGTTCTGTGGTTCATTTCCCACTCGCCAAAATCACTTCCCAAAGTTCATGAACATTTGTGGTAGGCAACAACTGCAGGTGCCCATATCTTTTCTT